CCAGCGCGGCGGCCGGAAACGCGGAGCGGCTGTGACTGGAAAACGGCCGGCGGCCCCGGGGTCACCTGACTCGGACCTGCCGGGCGGGGCGGGGCAAAGTCCGGCCCGGGGCGCGGACGCGGGGGCCGGGGTGCAGCGCGGGCGGCCTTGGGCGGCCTCAGTCCGGGTGCGGCCCCGAGCCAGGTGCGCAGCGCGGCGCCCGGTCCCACCCGGGCAGGGAGAGGCCGGACCAGGTGCGCGGACACCGGCGCGCCCGAGCGCAGCCTCCTCCGCTGCTTCCGAGGGGCGGTCAGCCCAGGTGAGGCGCCGGGGGGCTGGGGGGTGGGCCGCCCTGGTCCTGGGGGGCTGTTCTGGTCTGGGGGGCTGCCCTGGTCTGGGGGGCTGTTCCACATCTTCTGGGTGTGGGGTCCCTGTGTTCCTGGCCCCTATCACCTGCTCGTCCCCGTGAGGTGGGCTGTGGCCTGGGTGCCGGTTGGGAACACAGGCTGGGCCCTGTCTGGGCCTCTGTTACCTTCCCTCCTTACAATGGGCTTATATCCCTACACACAGAATTGTGCGAGGACCCCAAAGCGTGTCCCACTTTCCACGTGCCCAGGAGCCCCAGCTCGGGACCAGGGCAGCACCCTTGGCTGCCACTTTTCTGGGGACACGATAAGACACAGGCCGTGGGTCAGGTGCCAGGACCTCCCTTGGAGGGCAGTTTTGGGCTTTGACCCCTGCTCTGGGCTGTGAGGGGCACAGGGTCAGCCTGGGGTCGTTTGAGAGCTGAGACCCCTTGCTGGGTGTCCAGGCAGAGGAGGAGGTGGGTACCTCAGCCACAGAGCTGGGGGAGCTCAGGCCTCTCAGACAGCATTCCTGGGTCCACCTCCTGCCCAGGGGCCATCTGGCACCAGCTAAGAAGGTGCAGAGTCAGATGAGAGGCGCCTTTAGGGCTGAATTTCCAGAGAAACCGTGTTAAGAAGCCCCGAGCTTGGCCTTTGGTGGAAAGCTGCTTCCTAGGATGACTGGCCCCACCCCAGGTTCCCCCGAAGCCCAGGAGTCCCAGGCAGCCCCCTCAGGGCTCCAGAGAGAAACCTCCACCCTGGGAGAGCCTGGGGTGGGGCCACAGAGAGGAGACAGAGTCCTGGGACCCAGTGCAGGCTGGCGCGGGGCTGCTCCTGGGGAGGGTGGCACGGGAGAAGGGCGGCAAAGCATGGGGCCACATGGTGGGGGCAGCGTCCCCGGCCCATCTTAGGGGCCAAGGGGGCGACTTGGATCCTGCTGGGGCTGAAGAGGCTCCTGCTGACCGTCACAGGCCCCTCTGATGCCCATGGCACTCCCAGCAGGCGTGGTTCCCAGGGAGGGGTCCTTGGCCACGGGAGGCTGTCTGAGCCCAAGGACTGCCTCTAAGGCAGTGGCTCTCCAGGGGTGGGTCTCCAGGGAGACGGGGAGCGAAGCCCTTGCCTCTGGAGGGCGGGGTGGGGACGCTGAGTGCAGCCGGGGTGCTCATGGCCGCCCCTCACAGGAACCATGGGGCTCTCCCGGAAGGAGCAGGTCTTCATGGCCCTGCTGGGGGCCTCGGGGGTCGCGGGCCTCACCGCACTCATTCTCCTCCTGGTGGAGGCTGCCAGCGTGCTCCTGCCCGCCGACCTCAAGGTGCGTCCCCGCCAACAGGGAGGCCGGGCTGGGCCCACAGGTGCTGCCTCCACTCATCCCACTGTCTCCCCAGTTTGGGATCGTGTTTGATGCCGGCTCCTCCCACACGTCCCTCTTCCTGTATCAGTGGCCAGCAGACAAAGAGAACGGCACGGGTGTGGTCAGCCAGGCCCTGGCCTGCCAGGTGGAAGGTCAGTGGGCAGTTCCAGAGCCGGGTGCTGGGACCCGCCATTGCTGCCTGGCTGGGATTCCCAGCTGCATGGAAAGCGTTTGGAGGGGCTAAATGACCTGGCCAAGGTCACACGCCAGGCATGGGTGCCGGGCTGGAGCCCAGGTCACCCGGTGGCACTCTGGGGACCTCCCTGCCTGACCCCAATTCTCACGGCCTGGCCCGGATCTGCCCTGCGTCTGCTGCCTCTGGCCCGACCCTCTCCAGCCCCTGGTGCTCCCTACCCTGGCACCATGTGGTGCTGGCAGCCAAGGCTGGTAGCCACAGGGGTGCCTGCACTCCAGGACCCTGAGGGGAAAACAGGAGGCCCCGAATTTGTTTTCGGGGGGCTCTAGTAACAAATTACCACAAATTGGAGGCTTAAACCCAGCTGTTTATTTCCCAGCATTCTAGAAGAATGAAAACAATGTGTGGACGGGCTCACCCCCCTCCAGGGGCTCCAGGTCAGGGACCTTCCTGCCTCCTCCAGCCAGGCAGCCCTTGGCCGGTGGCCACACCAGGGCTCAGGTGGTGGTCTCGTCTTTGGGGGCTGCCTTTCAGCCCAGCCAGGCTGTGGAGTCTGGAGCTCTGTCCCCGGGTGTGTTCCAGGCCCTGGAATCTCCTCCTACGCTTCGGACCCGGCACAGGCTGGTGAGAGCCTGCAGGGCTGCCTGGAGGAGGCGCTGGTCCTGATCCCAGAGGCCCAGCGTCGGAAAACACCCACGTTCCTGGGGGCCACGGCTGGCATGAGATTGCTCAGGTGAGATGGGCATGGCCTTGGCACCCACAGGGAGTGGCTGCAGGAGCTGTGGTCTCAACCCTCGTGGCAGGCAGGCTGGGGCGGGGCCCAGGCTTCCAGCCAGCTCCAGCCCGTGGTCCTCTGTGTCCAGACAGAAGAATAGCTCTCAGGCCAGGGACATCTTTGCAGCAGTCACCCAGGTCCTGGGCCGGTCTCCTGTGGACTTTTGGGGTGCCGAGCTCCTGGCTGGGCAAGACGAAGGTGCCTTTGGTTGGATCACCGTCAACTACGGCTTGGGGATGCTGGTCAAGGTGCCACAGGCAGCCTGAGGGTGGGGGCTGGGCTGCGAGCTGCCAGTGTTGGGCTGGCGACCAGGGCGGGTCCCAGTGGCTGCTCTGGGCTGAGTGCCCCCTTCTGTGCCCAGTACTCCTTCACTGGAGAATGGATCCGGCCTCCAGAGGAGACGCTGGTGGGCGCCCTGGACATGGGGGGGGCCTCCACCCAGATCACCTTTGTGCCTGGGGGCCCCATCTTGGACAAGAGCACGCAGGCTGATTTTCGCCTCTACGGCTCCGACTACAGCGTCTACACGCACAGCTACCTCTGCTTTGGACGGGACCAGATGCTGAGCAGGCTCCTTATTGGGCTGGTGCAGGTCAGCCGGCCGGGGGAGGGCGCACGGGGCTGAGGGAACAGAGCTACGGGCATGGGGCTGGCGGGTGGTCCGGACCCAGGGAAGGTGCACAGAACTATGGGTGCCGGGCTGGTGCTCAGGACCCCCTGCCCTCTGCAGAGCCACCCGGCTGCCCTGCTCCGTCACCCATGCTACCTCAGCGGCTACCGGACCACGCTGGCCCTGGCCCCCTTGTACGAGTCACCCTGTGTCGACACCACGCCTCCCCTGGGCCTTCCCCAGAATCTTACAGTTGAAGGGACAGGCAACCCTGGGGCCTGCGTCTCAGCCATCCAGGAACTTTTCAACTTCTCCGCTTGCCAGGGTCAGGAGGACTGTGCCTTCGACGGGGTCTACCAGCCCCCAGTACGGGGCCAGTTCTACGTAAGCACCCGCCCCGCCCCCGCCCCCACGTGGGCACCCGCCCCGCCCCCGCCCCCTCGTGGGCACCTGCCCCGCCCCCGCCCCGGGGTCCTGGCTTCCTTGTGAGGCCCTGGGTGCCTGCCTGACTCCAGCAGGCTCAGGAGAGGCCTGGGCTGGCTCTCGGGGGCTCTGGGAGCCCAGGTGGGTGGCGGTCTGACCCGTGTGGCCACAGCCGCCTCCCCTCCCGCCCAGGCCTTCTCCAACTTCTACTACACGTTCCACTTTCTGAACCTCACCTCCGGGCAGCCCCTGAGCACCGCCAACGCCACCATCTGGGAGTTTTGCCAGAGGTCCTGGAAGCTGGTGGGTGGGCCCTGCGCTCCCTGGCTGCAGTGAGGGTTCCTGAGGGTGCAGGGCTACCCCGGGCAGGATGCTGGAGCCTCATTCTGGGGAGAGTGGCCAACAGGGCTGGGGAGGCACGGGCAGAGGACAGCTCCAGGTAGGAAGCTGGGGCCACGGCTGCAGCTGGGCCCAGCCTCTGGCCTGCTGAGGGGGCTGCACCCCGCACCACTTGGCTGGTCAGTGGAGCCCCACGGGGACAGCAGGAAGGGGCCCCTGCCACTGCCCAGCACCCCCTCTTGTCTGGGTGCTCAGGCTGGCCAGGGCAGATGGGCAGTCCCAGCGTGACTAGGGATGGGGCCCTCACCTGGCCCCTCGGCCTCCTGCGCCCAGGTGGAGGCCAGCTACCCCGGCCAGGACCGCTGGCTGCGCGATTACTGTGCCTCAGGCCTGTACATCCTCACCCTTCTGCGAGACGGCTACGGCTTCAGTGAGGAGACGTGGCCCACCATCCAGTTCCGAAAGCAGGTGACCCCCTCCCCAGGGCGCGGGCAGGCTGTGGCCCCGGGGTGGCTGCCCTGCAGCCCTGAGCAGCCGTGTGTCTGCAGGCAGACGGCATCGACATCGGCTGGACACTGGGCTACATGCTGAACCTGACCCGGATGATCCCGGCCGAGGCGCCAGCTCAGTGGCGGGCACAGAGCCACAGCATCTGGGTGGCCACAGTGGTGTTCCTGGTGCTGACGCTGGTCACGGTGCTGGGGGCTGCCGTGGTTCAGCTCTTCTGGGTGCAGGACTAGCAGGAGGGCAGAGGTGCACCCCCAGAACCCTCAGGCAGCTGCGCCCCGGATGCTGTAGGCTTCCCAAGGCCCGAGCACCGTGGGGCCTTGCTGCGTGTCTCTGCCCACGGTCAGGTGACAGCCACCTCTGGGGCACCCTCAGGGTGCTGTGTGGCCTCCCCTCCCGGCGTCCCTGGGGCCCTCCCCACTGGGCTTCCAGGGCCCTGGGTACCCTTCTGCACACCAGCCGCCAGGACTGCGGTGCCTCCAGGCTGTGTGGCTGCAGGGGCCTCAGGAGGGGCAGCTGGGGCGGAGGGGAGGGAGCCGCCCCACCTGGACCCTGCTCTCCTTGCTGTTGTCTGAGCAGACAGGCCCAGGGTCTTCTCCTGGGCCAGGCTGGCCTCCCACACCCCCTTGGAGGGTTGGACTGCAGTGGGGTGTTGCTTTTATTAAAACCATCGTGGACACAGCATTGCTAGGGCTGATCTCCCTGCTGGGACCGGGGCAGGCGGCCGGGGGCTCCCGACATTCAAGGGTGAGTGGGAACCACGAAGCACTTGGGGAAGATGCCGATGCGGCCGTCACAGTGGCCTTCCAGCCATGCCTGGTCCACTGCAAGGGGGAAGGTGGGCGCTGCAGGGCGTCGCCCGGGTGTGGCCTTGGTGCCACGGCTGCTCACGGCACAGGCTGAGCCCTGAGCTCCACCATGCCCCGGGTGCCCCAGCGCTGCTTGGGAAGGGCCACGCCCACTCTACCTTCACACAGGACGTCCACCGTGGCCCCCTGTCTGAAGTCCAGGTCCTCTGGCCCCTGAGCTGAGTAGCCATGCTGGGCCACCACCTGGTAGAGGACTGGGCGGCCCCCGGCTCCCTGCAGCAGAAGCGTGGGCTGTAGGGCGGGCCGTCGCTGGGAGGAGGGGCCCCTACCGCCCACCAGGAGGTCCCCGCGTCTGCCTCACCCTGCACTGCAGCTGCAGCCCCCGGGGGCTGGCAGCCGCGTCCAGCCATGCCCTCTGCAGTGACTCCTCCCCGGCGATGGGGACCCAGCGGTCATCCTCACCTGGGGCTTGGTAACTGCAAAGAGATTCCTCAGAGGGGCTGTGTGGGTGGGGCCTGCAGGGAGGACGGGGACCTCTGCCACGCCCTCTTCCAGCAGCTGCCTCAGCCAGGGTGGTGCCCAGCGTAGAGCCCGCCCCCACCTGAGTTGTCCCAGCTGGGCCTGGCGAGGGAGGGCCTGGCTCAGCAGTGCCCGCAGGCTGGACAGGTCGGCTCCTCTTCGTGCCGTCAGGGCCACGGTGAAGGCGCACTGCACAGTGACAGTCACCAGCGGCTCAGCGCACCCCGAACCTGCTTCCTGCGGCCAGGAGGGGAAGGGATGGCCTTCTTCAGCCCCAGGGGTGTTGGCACTGGCTGGGCGGAGGGGAGGGGCTTGCAAGGCTTGATTCTGAGGGATGGTTTGGCCTTGGCCCTCCCTCCTCCCACCGGTGGCTGACAGGTGAAGGGTCTGGAGCCTCTTACACCAGCAGCTGCTGGGTCCTCAGAGGGGCTGGGGCCAGGCACCCCCATTGCCGGCAGCCCTGCAGGACAGAGCAAGACTGATGCAACCTCTCCCACCAAATCAGGCCCTGTGCGTGGAGGAGCACAGGCACCGCGCACCAGCAGCTTCCTCTTCACCCGGGGACCCCGCCGCTAAGGACCCCCATACCTGGGGACAGAGGAGTCGGTCTGCCATCTTGCTCCATCTGGGCCTGCTGCAAGGGAAGCACAGGTGCTGGGACTGGGCCATCAGGGGCTGGAGGCAGGCACCGCCCTAGCAGAGCCCACAGGCAATGGTGTGGCCTGTGTGCTCAGCCACTGCCCTGCAGGCAGCCTGCAGGAGTTGAATTGGGAGCCCCGGCCACAAGTGGGCTGCCTCAGGATGGGGCTGCCTGTCACCAGCAGGGAGCAGCCCATCCCCCCAGGCCCACTGAGGCAGCAGCTGCAGGTGGGTGGGCTCCCCAGTGACCCCAGGAAGCTCAGGACCCAGTCCCTGGCCCCTGTGTGGGCTGGACGTTTACCATGTGCCCTGAGTTAGGCACCCTCCCATCTGGCTGGCCCTGTCGAGCCCCAGTGAGCTGCTCCCTCTGCCCTGGTGCTGGTTCCACTGTGGTCCCTGGCCTGAGGAAGCAAGAGGGGCTCCGACCCCGAGTAGGGAGAGGCGCCGCACGCACCTGCTCTCGGTGTGCAGCCAACGTGCAGCTGTCAGCACTGACCTCTGTCTCTGCATGGAGGGCACCCTGCTGGGTGCCAGCTCTTGCGGAGTCCCTGATGGGGGTGCTGGGGAGAGGAGGGCGGCTCTCAGGCCCTGCCCATCTCAGTGCCCTCCTGTGCCCGGCCGCGCCTCGTGAAAGGCAGGCCGGAGGTGCAGCTCCAGGGATTGCTCTCTCACCCCCATGACACCTGGAGCCCCGGCTGTCTCTGTAGCCCCATTTGTGTTTGGGGGTCCCCTGGGGGGTTGGACCTCCTCCCTAGGCTGCTCCCCAGCCTTTGGTGCTGCGGGCAGTCATGGTGCCCCTGTAGGTCTCAGCTGCCTCCCAGTGCCACCCCCAAGGCCCGGGTGCCCCCACCTCCCTGAGGGGCAGTTTTAGGGGAGGTGGAGCTGGTGGAGCAGAGAGAGAAGCTGGGCTCCCCTTCCCAAGCTCTGGGCCCTGGACAGTCTCTGTCTGAAAACAGGCTGTCCGTCCTGTGCCTGGGCCCGGAGTGGCCCTACGTGGAGGTCCTCTGCCCAGCAGGAAAGGGGTGTGCTCTTGGGCCCAGCTGGCCCCTCCTACCTGGCATCATGGTTCACTCCCGCTCCCTGTGGACACAAAGCACCAGCCTGCTCTCTATTTAGGGTTGGGGCCGCCCTCCCTCCTCCTGAACCCCAAAGACAGTTTCTCCAGGTCTCTCACAGGGATGGGACGGGCACCCCACACCTCCCAGCAGAGAAACTTTGGGGCCCTGGAGCTTGTGTGGCATTTTCTTTCCCACATAGCTGGGTGAGGCCAGGCAGGGGCCTGAGAGGCCACAAACCCACCTGCGGCTGCTGCAGGCGGACGGCCCAGCGCTGGTCGTCAGGGACGGCAGAGGACACCACCTGGCAGGGACAGGGGGCGCGGGGTCAGGGATCAGCCGCCGGCGACGTTGGCTCCACCACCCCCTGCAGCTCTGAGTCTCCCGGGGGCTGGGTGGCGGCTGCCCACACCTGGCCCGCGTCTGCCAGGCCACCGTGGCGGGAAGCATCTGCTGGCAATGTTAATTTTAGTACAACTTTTAAAACATTTTTTTCTTATAAACAGCCCTCCACTGTGACACGCGGACTCCAACACAGGTCAGAGGCCTGCTTCGTGTACCCCTAGGTCCCCCGCTCTGGTGGCTGTGCCCGGCCACACAGGTGCAAGTGCAGGGGACTGACGGGGTGTGGCTAGCCAAGGTGACCCTGTCGCCGCCCCCAGGAGTTCTCCACCACATCTGGCCCCTGCCTTTGGGGGCAAGCAGCTCCCCGTTCCTCTGACTTTAGGCGTTCTGCCTGGCCCTGACCCAAGTGTGGGCGTGACATGGCCCAGACCGTCAGACTGCAGCCCGAGCCCCCGAGAGACCTCGCTCTCTGTGGCAGAGACACAGGGAGACACACAAAGGGATGCAGAGAGATGCGGGGAGACTCTGAGGGGACTCCCAGGGGACGGGGGGACTCTGGGAGGAATCAGGGAGACTCTGAGAGGACTCGGGGGGACTCTGGGAGGACGCAGGGACTCTGGGAGGATGGAGGGACTCAGGGAGACTCTGGGAGGATGAGGGGACTCTGGGAGGATGGGGGAACTC